CCCCCCCCGCCAGAGTTGCAACTTGCTGTCTTCTACATTACTTTTGGTTTCCAGGGTCATCTCTGTAATGTAATTGACTAGTGAAGTAATTAAGAATTTGAATATGACTTTCTACATAAATTAAGAAGCATGCCGGGGCTTCCCTGGTGGTGCAGTGGTTGGGGGTCCGCCTGCCGATGCAGGGAACGCGGGTTCGTGCCCCGGTCCGGGAGGATCCCGCATGCCGCGGAGCGCCTGGGCCCATGAGCCGTGGCCGCTGAGCCTGCGCGTCCGGAGCCTGTGCTCCGCAGCGGGAGAGGCCGCAACAGTGAGAGGCCCGTGTACCGCAAAAAAAAAGAAGCATCCTGTAATATTATTCTGCTTACAGTTGAAAACTTTTTTAATTAGCAAAGTATTCTTTTGAAACTGATATTGGAAAATGCAATGTATAATTGGTCACTTTATCCAGAGAAAAGCAATACAACTAAGGTGAATTGAGATATAATACAGTTTTACTTTAAATTTCCTAACTGTAGAAATAGACATTAGCATTTATGGATAATGTTATTTATAATAGAAATAATTATTAATATCTTTTCAAACAACCCAAGGAATCTGAGAGACTTCAAGAAATACAGACATGTGTACAGAAATCCTTAAGAAGGCTGAAAAGAATACAATAGAAAACAGGTAGGCAGTGAGGACCTGGTCACCCTCCCGTCTGTAAACCATTTTATGGGGCTGATAAACAAGCATATTAAGAAAAAGTATGTTATCTTACTTGATCCCAACAATTTGATCCTTTAGGTAAGAATTATCCACAGTTTGAGTATGAAGAAAATGAAATTAAAAAGTTGTAGGGAGAAGGCAGCAAACGTATTTATAATATTGGAATTTAAGGCTTCACCTGTGCCCCTCATATAATAATAATAACAACAACAATAATGACTAATATGAAGCCCTTTCTGTGTATTAGGCTCTTTCAAACTGCCTTACCTAAATGAGTTCATTTAATTTTTCCCAATAGTTCTACTTGTGGAACAGGTTAGCTAGCCCTGCTATCAGTAAAATACCTTCTGGAAGAATCTTGGAGACCGTGTCCTGGTTATCTTTTTAGACTAGGGGTGGATTTCTCTTTCTGGGAAACCACCAGGCTGTCAAGTAACTGGGAAAAGAAAAGTCCAGGGAAGAGAGAGGGCAAGTGAATTTGCAGCTATGGTGCGTGAGCGGGGTCTTCTCCAGGGGCACCGTTGCTGCCTCTCTTTGGCCCAGCGTGCCAGGGTATGAAACTGTTCCCCTTGTAAGTGTCCTGCACACACCTAACCAGGGAGGGTTGGTTTGGGGGCAGGATGGGGGAAGCATGCAAATTTGAGGGTTTTAAAAAGACTGGTCATGTATTACCTTGATATAATGCAAAGAGAAAGAATCATTCTAGGGATGGGGAGAGTGAGGGGTGTATGTGGAGAATTTTGCAGGCCAGCGTGTGTGGTGTTTGCATTCATGTATGCACGGGCATGCAACTGCACGCTGGAAATTTTGGGTGGCTCTATCAGGGGAAGGTGCAGGGCGACAGACAGAGGTTAACTAATAAAACGTTTCTGGAGGTCAAGGCTTCATTCAGTCTTGGTCCCATCTGTGTGCCTGGTACCTGATGTCACGTGTCACCCTGAGTAAGTCCTCAGTAAATGTTTGCCAGGTTCACTTGGATTCAACTCCTGTAAAGCTGGAAAGCACTGAGAATTCCCAGGGCTCTACCTAATGTGGCTTGGCTTCTGATTTTCCTTTCTTCACAGAGCCGCTGCTGCCCCCTTCTGGGGTTGCTCGGTATTTCTGAGGGAAGAACTTTTTAAGGCCTCGGCTGTGCCCTCCCTACATGTTGGTGAGCTTGGTGCTGCAAGTCTAGCAACTCTTGAGGCCTGGATGGGACTCAGGACAGACCCAGATCACTTGTGCTTTGAGAGAAGCCCTATTCCTGGAGAAACCACCTGTCTGGGAGGATTTGCAGAGGATTTGGTTTTAATGGGACTGGAGCTGAAAGTGGCATCATTTGTTGGGATAGCTGTGGTAGAAGGATGACTGCACTGGGTGTCAGGAGAACTGGAATCTAGACCAGCCCTAAACCTTGGGCTCTGGCTTTCTGGGCTTCATTTTCCTTTTCTGTAAAACAGGGGGTGAGGCCAGGCCGATTGTGTTCCAGAAGGGGTGAGGGACTTCAGTAGGGATGGGCCTCTAAGCTCTCCCTCTGTCACGACCTCTGCCCCACCTTGAGCCCTTTTATTTATGGGGTGACAAATATGATTTTGCTGGGGAGAAAAATGTCCTCAGAAGTCTGAAAGCCACTGGCCTGGATGGTCTCTGAGATCCCTTCCAGCTCTAATGGTGTGATTTTATGAACTTAGAATTGAATCACAGGCGTGAAAGCTGAAATCACAGTGCCAGACATGTCTCTGTAAGTGTGGTGGGTGTTTTGCAGGCAGACAGTCCAGAAGACATGCACAGCTGGATTAAGGAGATCGGGGCAGCTGTCCAGGCCCTCAAGTGCCACCCCAGAGTAAGTCACTTCCTTCCTGTTCACAGTCACTGTCAAGCTCGTGATGAGTTGTCCCGAGTGGGTGGGTTTTCTTTGGTGACGTAGGGAAGCAGCCCGGTGCCCAGATGCAGCTGAAGCCCCGGGCTCCCTTGCTTGTTTTTCTCTTTTGACTGGTTTGGGTACAAATTTTTACCCAAAAATTTGTGAGGTAGGGTTGGATAGAGAACCAGAGCTTCTGATGTGTCCTGCACATCTCCCTGCCAGGCAGACCTTGACACTTCTGGGGTGAATGCCGCTGGCCATATTTAATTTCTGTAGACGCGTGTCTCTGGGCCTGTGAGGGTGGTGATCCTGGAGGGGGTCCTCTTCCTGGGACCTTGGGATAAACATTGTCAGGAAAACTCTTACTTTCCTCTTTTTCCCGCCTTTTATTTTTGTAGGAAATGTCCTTTTCTCGATCCATTTCTTTGACCCGCTCTGGAAGCTCCAGCCTCTCAGGGGGGCCCAACTCTGTCTTGTGCAGAGGGCGGCCGCCTCTGGAGGAGAGAAGGGCCCTCTGCAAAGCCCCCTCCGTGGCTTCCTCCTGGCAGCCCTGGACACCTGTCCCCCAGGCTGGGGAAAAGCTGCTGCCCACTGAAGAGACTCCTGAGGACTCTTTTTTCATGCCTCGACTTGGGGAGAGCAGTACTTCTGGGGTGCTGCCCAGCTCCCGGATAAGGCACAGATCGGAGCCCCAGCACCCCAAGGAGAAGCCATTTGTGTTCAACCTCGATGATGAAAACATACGGACCTCTGATGTGTGATGAGGCGCAATGCCCAGGAGGGAAGGGGAGGACTCAGATGTCCAAGGGGCCGTGACTCAGTTTCTCCACCTGCTGGAGGACAGTCGGAGGCCTTCCTGGCACTCACATCCCTGTGGAGCTCTCTTGGGGGAGGGGAGCATCCAGCTGTTTTTTTTGTTTGTTTTGTTTTGTTTTTTAAATCAATGCAGTGTTTTTAATTTGGGAAAGTCACCAGGTTAGACCTGTAGGCTGGCTCAGTGGAGAGCAGGGTGCCTCTTACTTTGACTCTTCCATGGTCCACCTGGTGAGCGGAGGTTGGAAGTCCAATTTCATCCCTAACCAAGTTTTAGTTCCTTGTCCTTGTCTTATTAGTTTCTTCCCTTTGTTTTCAGGCTGGGTGCAGAACCTTGAGGCCAGTCGTCTGGTTTTATCCTATTGCTGTTCATTGGCTGAAGTTTGACTGTGAAGTAGGAGGGTGGGAACTCACCCAGCTGAAACTGGCGGAAGCAGTGGGGGACACCCAGGCTCCAGCTTGGCCGGGATACATTCTGAGGGGAGGTGTTAAAATCTGGGCGCTGGTCAGCGGGGGGCCCTGAATGTCGACCGGGGCAGATTCCCCCATCCTCCAGGGGACCTCCATAGGGGAAGAAATAGGGACCTCTTGTAAGGAATGAGAGAATGCACTCCCAACCCCAGTGCATCAGCCAGTTTTGGGAATTACTCTGTTCTCTTTGAGATGTTCTTTCACCCCAAATACTGTCGCTGTGAGAGACAGACCTGCCCACCCTGTTGCTGAGTCAGGCCCTTAGGATGGGTTTATCAGTGTTCAGTGCTGAGAACAGAACAGACATTGCCCTTGATATGGCGTTACTCGGAATGTGTGGAGGGTTGATGAGTGTTTGATAATTCACTTGTGCGATACATCAAATCTGTATTTTAGAGTTTGAGAGTTGCTTTAAAGCAGGTGCCGGGAAGAGATGGAGTTTAGTTCATCCAGCTAAAAATTTTTGATCCATGTTTTCCGGACAGAAGAAAAGGTCTCTTTTCGCAAAGACAGATTATCTTGGGTCCTTGCCTCTCAGCTCTTCTTTCACGGGCCGATAGTAGTCTGGTTTTAAGTGCTGTGTACTGTGTACCTTTGGCAGATTTGCTTTCTTTCTCTTCTTTGTGTTGCCCTTTGGGTGATGCCTCGTGTCTGTACTCGCATGATGAAATCTTGTCGTCTGACGAGGTTCTATGTACATTAACAGTGAGGAGATAACAAAGATAATCCTGAGAGATATTTATATCTTTAATAAAATAGAAACTGTGCAGAGAAACATTGATTTAGAGCCTATGCCTTGCTGGTTAGAGATTTCCCAGGTAGAAGAGCATAGACTGTATTTCCCATCCCGTATTTTAGGATGTACCTTCTTCCATTTGACAAGAGATCCTATTTCCAGGGTCCCTGGGAGAAATTACCTGTCCAGCTTATGTGGTGAACTGCTACCAAGGTTCCCTAAAGGGAGGGAGCTTAACTCAGTTCTATCTAGAACTCTTTATCAGCTAGATCAGTTAATTTTGTCCTTAAATTAAGAATTAACGAGTAGAGGAGGAGACTGTGATCAGAAAATCCTTAGTGGCTTGAGGGGAATCTTCTGTTTGCTTCCGGCAGTGTAGTTTCCTTGAAGTCTACGTCAGGTTGAGAACTTTTCTTGACCGTACTGCTTTGGAGATAACTTTCACTTAAATTGTTTGCCCTTGTGGTCCAGGTATAAAAAAGGAAATCTACTCTAGATTTCTCTCTCTTTCTCTTTTCCCTCTCTTTTCTGCAGCCTCCTGTGTACTTTTGTCCTTAGAAATCCCTGGTTTGGAGATTATTTATTTATGAGTGATCAAGGTGACAACATACTTCAAGTAGCCTGGTTTCAAGAAGCCATTACGAATTCTTAAAGTTCTTTGTCTCAGGTTTCATCTTCAGATTTTCCTCAAGAAAATTCTTTGGCTAGGTGAAAGAAAGTGCACAGAGATATGGAACTAACAAAGATAAATTAGGACCTTTTGAGATCTCTGTAAACATTCCCTAACTCATGGAAAGATGTCATCTCCTGGTGTTTAACTTGTGAAAATCTACCCATTTCTTCCTCTTTTAAATAAACTCTCTGCTAGATTACTACTGCTAAATTAATTGGCCATTATGGTAAGCTGATCTGTTTCTTATTCAGTAAGGTTTATTTTGAGAATGTATTAAATTAAACATACTTATAAATCCAGATTGTATTATCATAATAGAGGGGTAACAAGGATTCTAGTTGGCAGATACTTGGGAATTCCAAGTTAGAGCGTTGTTAATGTAGTTCCAACACCAGATAAATATAATTATCTTCAATGAAGCTTAGAGGCATTCTCATTGCCAAATCTTATTTCAGAATTCCTTTTGTGTTCATATTTCTTAGCTTCTGGTTAATTTCACATCACACCTTTTAATGTCACTACACATGTGAGCCAAAGATGGTGCATATGCGACCAAAGCATTTGGTTTCAAATGTGAAAAATGGAACCAAAAGGAAAAAACAAGGAGGGGATGCAATATCGATTAGTAGTTAAGTGCATAGGCTCTGCAATAAATCTGTTTGTTTTGTTTTTTTTTAAAAAAAGGAACCGGGGCTTCCCTGGTGGCACAGTGGTTGAGAGTCCACCTGCCGATGCAGGGGACATGGGTTCGTGCCCCGGTCCGGGAAGATCCCACATGCCGCGGAGCGGCTAGGCCCGTGAGCCATGGCCGCTGAGCCTGCGCGTCCAGAGCCTGTGCTCCGCAGTGGGAGAGGCCACAACAGTGAGAGGCCCCGCGTACCGCAAAAACAAACAAACAAACAAACAAACAAAAAAGGAACCAAAAAAGGTACTGCATTTTTTTGTGTGTGTGGAATAAAAACGTTCTCTGAGTTGTGCTGTTTTCATAAGACTTTTGACGTGGTCTTGACCCACTGTGTGTAACAGCTTCAGGTGTCTCCCCATAGGTAAACTATTATTGTCCACTGTTCTTGAAAGTTAAGGAATTGCTTGCTCAGGGTCAGCTGATGGCTGGTGAACGTAGTTCTGGCCTTTTGCATTCTGTGAGATGACAGTCGTACTAAGGTGTCCATCAGGTAAAGCGATCTCAGGTGAAAATTGCAGAGTTAAACATCTGTTTCTGAGTAGAATGCTGAGCTCCCATGAGAAAGAGTCCAACTTCATAGTTCACTTGAAGCAGAAGGTGGTTTGTTGTTTTATTTTTTTCCCCTTGAATGTAACTGTGCTCTGATATGGTCTGAAAGGATCCAATAAATAAGTGGCAGATTCAGTAGTTGAGCAGTGGGATTTGATATGTTTGTTTTCACTGTTAACCAGATAAATAGGCATAAGGAAGTAGCAGAGTTTTGGAAACTGAGTTTCCCAAATCAGCTTTGTTTATAAAGTTTGAACATGTCAGAAATGGACAGATTTATTACATCTTTTCTACCAATGTCACTTTTTTCCTTAGTACCTTTTTCTCTCTGTTACTGCCTGCAGTAGTGAATTACAGTCACTCATGCTCGGTAGAGTTTCAATAAAGCCATTATTTGGCCAAAAAACATACTGTTTGACCCCTTCCCCCGCTGCTCCCCAAGGTGTAGCATGATTCTGTGTTTTAAACCCGTCTGTTTCAGCTGTGAAATGCACTTGTAGGCTGAGCTGAGTGCATGGAAACTCTTACGCTTCTCATTTTAAGCGATCTCCTACTTGGTATGTAGCAAAAAATAATTTTCTAAAACTGTTTTGTCGCTTGTTTTGTAATAAAAACCATGTGAAATACTGAAGTAGGTTGTGTGTTTTCCTAACTCTGATCGTCTTTCCGCGGGTGGGTGAGTTGTCAGTCTGCCCCCGTTCTTGGTGTTCTGAATTCCACGAGGTGGGGGAAGGGCCGGGACGCGGGGCGGGGTGGGGAACGGCTATGTGTGGAGAGGGCTGCCAGGTTCTGCCCCTTAAAGTCGGGGGCTGAAGGAGGCGGCATCCCAGTCCGGAGAAAGCGTTGCTCGTCTGAGAGCAGCTGTGGGTCCAGAGGAGAGTCCGCGGGAAAGTGGGAGGGAAGGAGGAAGGGAGCGGGATGACGAGACCCCTGCTGCAGCCCGCCGGGCTCGGACCGCTGGTCCTGCCGTGGCTGCCGCTGCCCACGGCTCCGGGGAGCGGAG